AAAACTGCCCCAGGAACCCCCAAATTCTCCTCAGGACCCCCAAAACCACCCCGGGACCTCCCCAAATCCCCTCAGGGACCCCAAAATTTTCCCTGGGACCCCCCAAGCCCCCCCAGGACCCCCCAAATTCCCCCCAAATTTCCCCCCCGCAGGGCAGCAGCTCCCAGGTGGTCTCGGAGTTCGTGGTCAGGGTGCCCAGGTGAGGGGATTGGGGTGAGAAATGGGGATTTTGGGGTCAGGATTTGGGGTGAAAATTGGGGATTTTGGGGTCAGAATTGGGGAGTTTGGGGTCAGGATTTGGGGTCAGAATTGGGGATTTGGGGTCAGGATTTGGGGTCAGAATTGGGGAGTTTGGGGTCAGAATTGGGGAGTTTGGGGTCAGGATTTGGGGTCAGAATTGGGGATTTGGGGTCCAGGATTTGGGGTGAGAAATGGGGATTTGGGGTCCAGGATTTGGGGTGAGAATTGGGGATTTTGGGGTGAGAATTGGGGATTTTGGGGTGAGAATTGGGGATTTTGGGGTTCAGGGGGTCTCTGGGCTGGTTTTGGGCTCTGAGGGGATTTTTGGGGGTAGTTTTGGGCTCTCAGGGTGTTTTTGGGGTGTTTTTGGGGTGTTTTTGGCTGTTTTTGGGCTCTCAGGGTGTTTTTGGGGTGTTGTCAGGGTGTTTTTTGGGCTCTCAGGGTGTTTTTTGGGTGTTTTGGGGTGTTTTCAGGGTGTTTTTGGGCTCTCAGGGTGTTTTTGGGGTGTTTGGGGGTGTTTTTGGGCTCTCAGGGTGTTTTTTGGGTGTTTTGGGGTGTTTTCAGGGTGTTTTTGGGCTCTCAGGGTGTTTTTGGGGTGTTTTGGGGTGTTTTTGAGGTGGTTTTTGGGCTCTCAGGGTGTTTTTGGGTGTTTTTGGGCTCTCAGGGTGTTTTTGGGGTGTTTTGGGGTGTTTTGGGGTTCCCAGGAGCAGCCCCAAGCGTTACAACATCATGGCCTTCAACAGCGCCGACAGGGTCAGCCTGAGCAGCTGGGCACAGGTGGGCGCGGGGACCCCGGACCCCAGATCCCAAATCCCGGGTCCCAAATCCCAAATCCCGGACCCCAGATCCCGGATCCCAAATCCCAAATCCCGGGTCCCAAATCCCAAATCCCGAGTCCCAAATCCTAAATCCCGGGTCCCAAATCCCAGACCCCAAATCCCAAATCCTGGATCCTAAATCCCGGATCCCAAATCCCAGATCCCAGATCCCAAATCCCGGGTCCCAAATCCCAAATCCTGGATCCTAAATCCCGGATCCCAAATCCCGGATCCCAAATCCCGGATCCCAAATCCCAAATCCCGGATCCCA